TGAAACCATATGAATGAACTTTTTGTACTGTGTACACTGAAATTTATTGTTTATCCTGCAGTCAAATGGCTCTTTCATGATCTCATAACATTAGGCATTGGTCACTGGATATTTTGTTCACAAAGTTATGCAGTTTTTCCAGCTGTACAGTGGAAAAAAGCTGTTACATATTTTTGAGTGAACAAAAGTGGAAAAGAAAAATGTCTTAGCATCACTAAGAATATAATCCTGTCTTTTGAACCCCATGAATGGGTCAAGGGGCCCCATACGTACTTTTGAGAATTACTGTCTTATATTGGCTATAGGTTTTGTAGCCAATCAATAACTTCTCCAAACATCAGGGACCTTTAGACTATTATTTTCCTGAACTCTCCATTAAGTTCATTTAACTCAACTGAACGAACCTGAACCTAAAGTTAAGTATGCAACTCATTTTGAGATTGTAAACAAACAACAAATTCCACCCAAAGGAAATAAAAATCACCTATATTTTTGCCTTCCAGAAATAATCAATGTGAACATGTTGACCCACTAGAATCTCTCAGGTTGTGTTTTATTGATTTATGAATTCCAGATTTAGCCATTGGCTAACACTCCTAGGGCCCCCCCCCCCAAAAAAAGAAAGAAACCGTTTTAAAACAGTATGTTGTCCACTGTACCCTGTCCTTTTCATTTAGATGTTACTGAGGTCAATTCCCCCACATGTTCTTTCTTCCTTTCTTTGGAGGCAGGGTCTCGCTGAGCTGCGAGGCTCACAGGCGATCCTCTGGCCTCGGCCTCCCCGGCGGGGATTAGCGCCCTACCCGCCCAGCTCCCAGGAGTTCCCGCAAACCTGTTCCGCTGGGGCTCGCGGCAGAGCTTGCCTAGCATGTGTGAGGCGCCGAGTTCGCTCCTCAGCCCAGTAAAGGGAGGGGGGCACAGTGCCAGTAAAAAACATTTCTTACGACTGCCTAATTTTCGAGCTCAATCTCCCTTGAAAAATCGCGTAATCTCATCTCACAAAGGGGAAAAAAAATTGCAACGACATGGGAGAAAAGGCGCGCTGTACCACTCCGCTCCCAATTCACAGACAGTTGGACCAGACGGAGGGTCTCATCGGGCTCCCTTCGCGTCAACAGCCTCCCGGACGCCGCGGGACACCAGAGGGCAGGTGCGGCTCGCCGTCGATTAGAGTCCGCGCGGTGAGCTTCGGCAACCCGCCCAGAAACGCCGAGCATGCGTGGAACGCGCCCCGAGCCCGTCCGGGAGGTTAGAGGTCGCGAAGAGGGCCCAGAGCCTGTGTTTTACAGAGGAATCCGGAGCCATCGCGGCTCCTGGGGCGTGGGACTGCGCTGGGCACGCAAGGGCCGCCGCCGAGTGCCGTACCCCGCGCCATCCCTCACCCGTTCCTAACGGCGCCGCAGCCGTCGGAAGAACCCGGACACCAGACCCCCGCCGGCGGCGCACGCACTTCCCTTCCGCGGCAGGAAGGGCGGGCGCCGGCGGAGCGGGTGCGCCCCACGGGACGCGCATGCGCCGTTCGCCCGGAGGCCCTGGAGCGGCTCCGTCGCGCCGGATTCACCGCCCCGCCGGGAGTGCGCCTGCGCCGTCTCTGGAGCTCTCCACCTCCGCTTCCCCTCCCCCTGACCCCCGCGGGGGCTCCGGGCCCGGCGGGACCATGTTTACCAGCACCGGTTCCAGTGGGCTTTGTGAGTACCGGCCCCCGCCGTCCTGACTGCCGCCTACGCGCTACCTTGGGCACCTCCTTGAGGCTGGGGGCAGCGGGGATCCTCGGGTTTGCAGGAGGTTGGGGGGCCGGCCTTTCATCCCATCCCAGCGCCCCAACTTGGGTGGTTCCTGCCTCTGGGGTCCCCGGGCTTCGTCCCCACGTCAGCCAGGAGGGGCGAGTGGTCCTGGCGTCGCGCCGCCAGCTCGGCCCCCATCGTGAGCCCCAGGTGCGGTGCGCGGCAGCTCCAGCTGCGGCTGCAGGTGGGCCGGGCAGTTAGGGTCGGGCTGGGTGCCCCGTGTTCTCGTGGCCCGGCCTCAGGCCCTTGGCGGCTTGGTGCCAGGCTGAGAGTAGAGGCTGTCCGGGTGGGGGTGGTGCTGGAAGCCTGCCCCCATCACTGTCACCTTCCCCATTCATTTGGGGTCAGTGGGACCCCCACGTGCAGAATTCAACCTCTGTTTCAGGAGCTGACCCCTCAGTTTACTTAGGTACACTTCTTCCTCAGTCCTCCTGAGGAGTTTTTAGACAGACAAAAATACTTTAAAGTGGAGGGAAGTTAGGAAGTCATCTGGCCAGAGAGCGTATACTTCGCTGTTGGGTGTGCTGAATTTTGTTGGAGTGTCAGCGGTGGTCAGCAGGCAGAGGTCAGAGAGGTGTGTGCAACAGCCTTGCAAACAACTTTTTTCACACCGCATTGTTTTATTGCCTTTCGATAAAGTGGAGTGTGTCAACCGAACAGTGCGGAGATTAGACACTGATACATCAGCTCTGAACTGTTTGAACAGCTATAGTTTTGCAGTCGCTCATCACTGCTACTATGTGTAGTTGACGTTGCCAGAACACAGAAAAGCCTGACATTTCCAAATAATTAGTTCTACTGTGAATATCATGAATCTTTTTCTGATGATACCTGTTTTTTTTTAAACACTTTTTTAGTTGTAGATGGGCACAATATCTTTGTTTTGTTTATTTATTTTATGTGGTGTTGAGGATCGGACCTACTGCCTCATGCTTGCGAGGCAAGTGCTACCACTGAGCTACAACCCCAGCCCGAGGATACCTGTTTTAAGTCTTGAGAGTGAGTTATTGTCTCGACCACAGGCATCATTTTAAATCTTCCTCACTTCTTAACTTTTTAGATTTTGAAGTGAGTTTAACATTTATGATTTTCCTTGTTTTATAATTTGATTTATGGAGTCTTTCATCATTGGATCCAGAGTCCATTACAATAATTAGTTAATTAATCTTTCTCAAATTGCCCTTTGGATGAAGAACTTAGAGTTAGTGATGAAGTTGACAGTTCAGGAAGGTAATGTGGTTTTCCTGGGATCGTACTACACTGGTAGATGTGAAATTAACCATAAGATCCTTCAGTTTTAGTTGTTTAGCATTTTGAGCTATCCTTGTCAATCAAAAGACATATAAAAAATTAAAAAGGCAAGAGGGAAATCAATTATTAGTTGCTGAACCATATTAGCCATTAGATTACATGGACAAAGTGTGTCCAAATTAGATGCAGGGTGACTCTGGGGAAGGCAATTCTTTATTCCCTATGGAACAGGTAGGTGAATTTTAGGAAACAAACTGCTGCCTGGGGAGAGGCCTATTCCCAGGGTTCCTCCTCAGCTATCTTGTCCTGTGTCTAAAATAAGTGTCTCTGCAGTGTAGGAATGATAGGATGACCCTTCCTCTTCAGGCCATGTTTTTTTAAAATATTTTTTTAATTGTAGTTGGACCCAGTACCTTTATTTTATTTATTTATTTTTATGTAGTGCTGAGGATCAAACCTAGCGCCTCACACAGGCTTAGCAGTAGAGTGCTTGCCATAACCCCAGCGGGCCATGTTTTATTTAACTAATAGTTTGGGCATTACTGTGGGCTGTGAATTGTGCTAGGTACCAGGAACACAGTGATGACTAAGTCTTGGTCCTTGTGTTCAGTGCTTATGATGGCGTTTAGGCCATTTTTCCAGGACAGTTAACCATGTGTTGACTATTTTTTCTAGTAAAGATCCCCCTGGGGGCAAAGTGATTTTCTTTAGATATGAAATTATATGTCCAATTTGTAAGTCTTAGTTCTGTTTCTGATTATCCTAAAGAAGGCTAATCCATTGGTCTACCCCTGCACTCAGGAGAACAACAATTTTTTTAAGGAAGAAATCCCTACCACTTCTTGCACCTGAGTATTTCCCATTTTTTGTGTTACTTTCTCCTCGTTCATTTACTCAGCAGGCGTCTATTGAATACCCATATAGTTCATGAACAGGATAATGTGATTAAAAAAGGTAGAAACAGCATTACATAGGTTAACAAGTGATTAAAATGCTTTTACATAGTAATATGTAACGGCAAAAATGGAAGTTATGTGGAGTACAGCTTTAACATGTGTGGTCAGGGAAGATATCTGGGAAGGTGACATTTGAACTGAGAACCAAATAATGTGAAGAAGCTAGCCACATCAGAGTTTGTTGAGAAAAATTCCTTTTGAAGAAAGGGAACACCAAGCACAAAGAGCAAAGCAGGTGCTTTCAGGTTACCAAAGAAAACTTCAATCAGGGCAGTAAATCAGGGTAAGAGCGTTTGTGACCATGTCTTTGAAACTGTTGCTTTCTGACACATCATGCAGTTATGCCTTGGTAAAAATGCATGCAGTGTTCATGACTCATATTAGATTCCTACTCACAGAGTAATACTGGCACTCAACTCTATGTTGAGTAACATATGTCATTTATTACATTTATTTCCATTGGTGTTTCCATTATTTATTCACTTCAAATGTTCACTGTGCAATGATGCAGTCAACCAACATTAATTTTAATTCCATGTTTTATGTATCCAGGTATAGTTCTCAGAGTTCAGTGTTGAGAGGAAGACAAAAAAAGAAAAGAACAGCTGTGCTCAGGGCAGTGCAGTGGTAGTGTAGTGGGTTTATTGCGATGGGTGGCTTGCTGGGGGGAGGCACAGTTGTCAGACTGCACAGTGTAGCTGATACAAATGTACATACATACAATTAAAAAATATTTATTTTTTATTATAGGTGGACACACAATATTTTTATTTCATTTTCATGTGGTGCTGGGGATCAAACCCAGTGCCTTACCCATGCTAGGTGAGCACTCTACCACTGAGCCATAACCCCAGCCCACATATATACATTTTTTTATTAGAGCATTAAAATTATGCATAGTAGTTGGGTTTATCTTGGCAAATTTGTACATGCTTAGAATTTAATTTCAGTTCTTTGTTCCTCTCTTTTCCATCCTCTACTGATTTTCCTTTCACTTATCTATTTATTTTTGATTGGTTCTTTCTACTTATACATAAAGTTGAAATTCCCTCTGGTATATTTATATATGCATGTAACATGGTTTTTAAAAATTCATTCTGCATTTTCTTCCCCTTTCCATCCCTCCTATCTTTTTTTAAAATTATTTTTTGTAGTTGTAGATGGACAGAATGCCTTTATTTTGTTTATTTTTATGTGGTGCTGAGGGTAGAACCCAGTGCCTTACGCATAGTAGGCAAGTGCTCTGTCGCTGAGCTCCAGCTCCAGCCTGCATCCTTCCTTTCTTGATATCCTTCTTCTACTCTACTGATCTTCCCTATATCTTTATGATATCTGATCCTCCCTTCCATTTTTCCTTTTTTTGCTGTAGCTTCCACATACAAGAGAAAACATTTGACCCTTATTTTCTGAGACTGGCTTATTTCACTTAGCATGATTTTTTTTTTTTTTTTTTTTGAGGGAGGAGTAAGACTTTGTCAGGCATAACAGTGGAGAGAGGTTCTGTAGGGGATGGAGCAAGGCCTGGTAAAGAATTCTGGGGGTTGTTGATTATGGCTGTAGTGGGCAGCTTCTATGGTGTGTGGTGAGTTTGCCAGAGGGCAGTGGGACATGGAGACATTTTAACATTTGAGGAGGGAGAAGAGGCAGAGCTGGGGAAAAGACTGAGTCTTGGCCAAGGAGGTGGGAGAATGCCAAGGAGCAGAGAATTCCAGAGGAGTGGTTAATAAATGCTGCAGAGATTTCCAGAAAAGGACTTAAAAGTGACCTTTTTGGAAAGAAAGAGGAAATCTAGGGCCTTTCCAGAATGGCTTATCCAGTAATTGGGAGAGAAGTGAGTGAGATTATGGTTGGCCAAGGAATGAGTAGAATAAAAAAAGGAGGCAGTAAGTTTGGGAACCACCTTTAAGAGTATCAGTCCTGAAGGACCTTGAAGGAGTTGCACTGGTGGGAGCCTCAGTGAAGGGAAGTTTGCTTTAAGTTGAGAGAAACTTTGGCTTGTTCATTATTGGGAAAGACTCAGTGGGGAGGATCTCTTGAAGATACAGGAATGAGTGATAGGACCACGTCCTTAGAAGCAGAAGAAGGTGATCACCATCACAGGCCCAAGGCAGGCATGTTGCTCATTGCTCTGGGAGGGAAGACAGGAAAGTACTATTGATGATGGTGAAGTGATTCTAAATGCTACCTGTCTCAGCAGTAAAATAGCAACCAGGGTACTTTTCAGGATGTACACCTGCCGGGTCCCATCCCCAGGGTCACATCCAGAAGGGCTAATGTGGACATCAGAAATCTGTTTTTCTTTCTTTCTTTCTTTCTTTCTTTCTTTCTTTCTTCCTTCCTTCCTTCCTTCCTTCCTTCCTTCCTTCCTTCCTTCCTTCCTTCCTTCCTTCCTTCCTTCCTTCCTTCCTTCCTTTTTTTTTTTTTTTAAGAAATTGATATTTTTAAAGGTTTCCTGGGAGATTCAAATGAGCAAACATTTAGATCAAAGCAAGAAGGTGGCCAGCAGGAAAGGCAGAGAGAACAGTTAGAGTCCAGTGGGGAGATGCCGAAGGCCCAATTAAGATATTAGCCGTGAGGGGCTGGGATTGTGGCTCAGTGGTAGAGCGCTCACCTAGCATGTGTGAGGCATTGGGTTCAATCCTCAGCACCACATAAACATAAACTAAAGATATTGTATCTTCCTAAAATTAAAAAATA